TCGCTGGTCTAACTGGTGAACAGTAAAATGGTCTCATTGGTTGCACTGGTGAACAGTTAACAGCTCAGACTGGTCTCACTGGTTAAACTGGTGAACAGTTAACTGGTTCCACTGGTTAAACTGGTGAACAGTTACCAGCTCAGACTGGTCTCACTGGTTAAACTGGTGAACAGTTACCAGCTCAGACTGGTCTCACTGGTTAAACTGGTGAACATTTAACTGGTTCTACTGGTTAAACAGGTGAACAGTTAACTGGTTCCACTGGTTAAACTGGTGAACAGTTAACTGGTCAGACTGGTCTCTACTGTCGAGGTTCGGGTTCGGTCTGAAACTATCTACCAGCTGTGAAGGTTCTGACCCTTTAACGACGAAGAACGGGTCCTCCATGGACATGATGGCGGTTCTGGTTTAGTCCATCCCTTGGAACTTCAGGTCCGGATCCACTGATTCGGTTTGGGTTCTGATTCCAGCCCAGTCCTCTTCCCCGGATCCTCCGAAGCTAACTGCGCTTTGTTTTCATGTAGCAGCGGAAACCAAGCAAATGACGTCACCTCCTGAACAGCTGAAGCAGCAGTCGCCCCCTGCTGGAGGAGCGGAGACGATACACACCTGAAAGAACAAAAATACGTTTTCGTGAAAATGATTTATTTAGTACAGATTCAGAAATGTGAGAGTTAAGAAACTTAAATCTCTCAGAAACACAGGAATAATGTATTAAAAGCTGAAGTCAGAAATCAGTCCCTACATCTGTGGTCCAACAACGGCTCTAGATTAGATATTTTAAAGCTGTTACCCAGATTTCTATACATTTTTATATTCCTTCCTGTTAGAACTCCAGGTTTTCAGTTCAATAAACAGAGAAAATAATATCAGGATTCATCTGGACTTGAAATCAGACCAAATAAAAAGAATTTAAAACACTTTAAATTAAAGGAGAAGTTCGGTTTTTTACACTTTAAGCCCATTTTCTGTAGTGTCCAGGATGAAATCGAATGATCGACACCAAAAGTTTGACAATTGGTCCTGTCTCTGCTTTTTGGCTCATTTAGAATCACCCCCTAGCTGCTTTAGAATGGCTTGCATAGAGCATGTCCGATAATGTCCTTAAAACAACCTTAAACATTCTTTTTTTTAAATATGCTACTCACCGTGTCGTCAGCGCTGTTCAATGACGTTCCAAAAAAAGTTTCGTAAAGAAAAAACGTTCCTGTAGTGTTTTATTTAGCATTTTGTAAATCCCATTGAGTTCTGTAGGAATAGTCAATATTCCGCTGCCACCGGAAACGGAAATGGGGCCTGTTTACACAGTTGTAGTCTTTTCGCTTCACTCTGTGTACTCCGACGTCGAGGTGCTAACGTCTCTGTTAAACACTTTAAAAAACTCTGAAAATGGAATACGAAAGGTGGATTCTTGATTCTCAACGTCGGAGTACACAGAGTGAAGCGAAAAGAGTACAACTGTGTAAACAGGCCCCATTTCCGTTTCCGGTGGCAGGGGAATATTGACTATTCCTACAGAACTCAATGGGATTTACAAAATGCTAAATAAAACACTACAGGAACGTTTTTTCTTTACGAAACTTTTTTTGGAACGTCATTGAACAGCGCTGACGACCCGGTGAGTAGCATATTTAAAAAAAAGAACGTTTAAGGTTGTTTTAAGGACATTATCGGACATGCACTATGGAAGCCATTCTAAAGCAGCCAGGGGGTGATTCTAAATGAGCCAAAAAGCAGAGACAGGAGCAATTGTCAAACTTTTGGTGTCGATCATTCGATTTCATCCTGGACACTACAGAAAATGGGCTTAAAGTGTAAAAAACCGAACTTCTCCTTTAAATTAATAAAGAACAAGATATTTTAGCTCTCACTGATCTCAGTTTTAATTCACTGATCATTTGAGATGGACGCAGTGGTTGGTTTTGTTCTTAATTGAACTCAAGTATTTATTTTCTACTCATGAGCATAACATCTGGTTTCATAAAAAAAATAATATGACAAAATCAGAAGATGGAAACTGACTTTTAAAAATGGAGCTGGATTAGAAAAAAAAGGTTTAATTGTTTAAATTAAACCTTTTTTTTCTAATCCAGCTCAGTGTTTGTGTCTTTGGTGCATCTTTTAACAAGCTTGTTGTTGAATGAGTGAAGTAACTAATTATGGGTAGAGTAGCCAGAAAAAAAGTAGGTAAGAGTAAAAAGTCGAATGTGGTAAAACTACTCCTGATGGTAGATGTTTTTCAGAAAGTTATTCAAGTAAATGCAACTAGTTTCTATCCACCTCTGTAAAGCCAGTTGGAAACAAACAGAACAGATCAAGTGAGAGTCACAGCTCCAAACACCATGAGGGGATCAAATATAGATCAATAACCAGGGAGACTGCGTTGTATAAACAACACTTTTAATGTGGTATGGCATTAAAAATATATTTTAGTGAACAAAACAGAGAAAGGAAGCTTTCAATGAAAGCACATTTCTCACAATTATCTAAGCAAAACTGATCACTGGAAATGCTGCTTCTTTTCAGAATAAAGCTGCATTTTTGACTTAAAAATAAAATATAGAATAAATAATCTAAACTACATTTTTTTTTCTGTCCAAGACAACTAAAGATGTAAAATGTAAAAATGTTCATGTTAAATCATGTAAAACTTGAAAATATGACTTTATTATATAAATGCTTTTTTAATTTTTAATACAGGCCTTAATTCTTTCAATTTATTTATTCAGACAAAAAAAAAATCCATCCATCCATCCATCTTCTGTCTTGCTTATCCCTACTGGGGTTGCAAGGGTTGCTGGTGCCTATCTCCAACTCTCTACAAGTGAGAGGCGGCAGAGAGAGAAAAAATAATTCACACACACTCACACCAAATTAACTTAACAGTCATGTTTTTGGACTGTGGGAGGAAGCCGGAGTACCCGGAGAGAACCCACACATGCTCAGGGAGAACATGCAAACTCCATGCAGAAAGAGAAGGAATCAAACCTGAATCTTCTTGCTGCAAGGCAGCAGCACAACCCACTGCACCACTGAGCAACCATGACTTCCAATAAAACATTGTATTTAAATAAACAATATTGCGGCTGAAAAGCTTAGGCTGAAGCATAAACTTATGTCTGCCTTCTTACAAAAAAATTAAGCTAAGCTTCGGTTTACAAATAATTTAACTGAATTAGCAGCATTCTACACTCTAACTCCAGCAGCAGAAACAGAATCACTTTGATTTCCTTTGTGACTTTTTTCAAGGTGAATTTATATTTATCTCTAACATTATATTAAATTTCTGGAATAGAAAAGAACTTCTGGATACAGCCATCTAGTCATTTTTTTGTTTTGTTTTGTACATCAATTTCGGTATTTTATCATTTACAAGATCTTCAAATTCCAATATATTTGAATTTATAATAGTGGAAAAGTGTGGTTACCAAATCCTGATTTATTTATAATAAGTATGGCTCTTTTCTTTTGTAGGTTGTTCCCAATAGTTCTACACAGTATATTAAATAAGGGTATTACGGTAAATGTAAACCATTAAAATTTTGCATGTCCTTTGTTTTATCTTAAATTACTAATGACTTTAGTTTTTTCCCTTTTAAATATTCTGTATCCTGTTTCCAAGAGTTTATGCTCATTTACTACTTCCAGGAATATTTTCTCCCAAACTCTTTTGCTTTCAACATCACAAATGCTAGTATTTATATCAGTATCATTTTTGCTTTTTGTTTCAAAATTCCACAAATTTAGTTTTTTCCATATTAAGTAATATTTCATATCAAACCAGAATTTAAGCATTTTTCGATTTTTTGCAGAAGTTGTTAGTATCATTAGCAAAATATTGACTCATAAATGTAATTCCTTGTAGATTATCCAAACTGTTTTCATTTTATTTAAACTGGTGAACAATACGCAGTCACACAAGACTGCGTATTGTGTGACAGAACGAGAAAATTGCTGTATTTTTTTTATGCCTTCCCCATCAAAAACTTTTTAATAAATAAATTTACTTTCAGAATTTCAAGTAGTGCAGAACAGATTATGTGTTGACATTTAAAAATCTATAAAATTGGGTCACTTTTTGCTGAAAAGCTTTAAAGATTTAATGAAAAAATATTTATTTTATCATTTTAATTGATTTACCAATTGAACAGTCTTGGAGAAGAAAATTAAAATGTAGTTTGGAATATTAATTTCTAGTTTTCATAAAATAAAAAATATTGAATTATAATTACAAAAAGGTACAAACATTATGTAAGATTTGTAAAAGTATTGCAGACTGTAAAATGATAAACTCTTAATGATAAACATTTTTAAAGACTTGGGACTATCCATGTAAAATATATATACATACATACACAGAAGATTAAGTACATTAATTTACACTATAGCCTACTTTAAGGATGTAAAGGAGGGGACTTTTTCCGTACATCATGTAAATATCTACAACCTAAAAGGTGAAATTGACATGTTTGCTGCCATCTCCTCTCGGTTCTTTGATTGCTACTCATACCGCTTCTAACTTTGCATAAAATCAGAGAAACTGAGATGTCTGCTCAGAAATAAAAATTTAAATCCATGTCTTTGGAAAGACATGCATTATTTTATTTTAAACTGGATATAAAGTCCAAATATTGCTCTTTATTCTGTGCATCGGGTTCAATTTTTTTAACAATGATCAGGGCACCTTCCAAGGAAAGTTTATGGACATGCCAATGTTGGTTTAAGATATTGTACTACAAGTTTTATTGTGCTTATACTTTGTAAATGAGGACTCATTTAAGAAAGGAGATTTCTTCAGTAAGAGTTACGCTTTAGGAATATTAAGATAATTTACAATTTCCTTCATATGAAACTGAACATTTAAAACCTGTTTTTTTTTTAATATTTTGCAAGGCAGTGTCGAAAAAAACTGTAATTTCTGTTTATTCACAATAACTATAGATTCCCTGTCAATCCAGCAGGGGGCAACAGTTTGTCCGTGATACCTCCAAAACGCCGAGAGAGGAAGCTGTAATCTCGCGGTACTTTGGTCCTTTGTGTTGAGACGACCGTCTCCAGTGAAGCTCCAGGCAATAAACTCCGCTTATAAACCATCCGAGCTATCGGTCGTACCTAAACCGAACCAGTCCACTGCTGTGGACATTTTCTACTCCACCTGTGCCTCCTATTCAGGTGAGATCTGTCAATCATATTAGCCGTTAGCTCCCGCCGTTAGCATGTTAGCAGCATGCTAGCTCCGCATGCTCCATTGGAGTCCTATAACCTGCTTGCGCCAGATTCGTCCCGGTCCGTTTTGGTTTGGTTCGGAAATCACGATCAGTAGCGCGGGGATTGTATCAACACCTGTCTTCTAACTGGAACTGATGCTGTTTAGAGCCCGATGACACCGTTTTATGTCAGACGGTGGCCCGCTTAAAATCAGTAGGGAGGGGGAGGGTAACTGTGGGTAACTTAATGATGAGGTAAATCTAATTAGATCAATTGGTCAAATTAATGAACACAAAACGTCTTTTTATTCTTGTTGCGGAGGTCTATTAATGGCATAAGATCAAAGTGTTCTGAAACCCTTTGATCCCGTCACTAACCAATCAGCTTCCCTTTTCAGACCCTATTAATCGCCCGGACCTGTTTCCATGGCAGTGAGACGAGGACACATCAGGTACCTGAAGGTGAGGTCTCAGCTGATGGTATCTCTTTAACGTTTCCTTGGTGAAAGGAAATGTTCCTTCAGGTGTATTTCTAAATCCAGGGGTGCAGATACCAAAATCCTCTCTAGCTTTTCCATCCCAAGTTAGGCCCTCATTGTTATTTAGTGCAAAGATGGACAATTAACTAAGTCATCATCTCTCAGTGGCAAAGAGCAAACCTTTAATGTTTGTTGATGAAGGACTGGGTCAATATCCATCAGTCTCCCACTGGTTGGTAGCAGCTCCATGCAGGATGTCCAGGGGATGCATTGACTCCCTATGAAGCACAGTTTGCTGCTGCTGTTATGAATATACAAACCGTAAACGACTAAAAAGCTGCAGAAATATGTGTGATGTAAACGCCAAAAGAAAAATGCTGCATGTTGCAGAAATGAGATGCAAACCTGCAGGTTAATGTTAAATGAATTGAAAAAACACCTAAAAATGCAAAAAAACAAACAAACAAAAAAAAACATACTTTCGCTAAAAAACAGAACCTTTAATCACAAACAAAATGCTGTAATCACAGAAATAAAATCTGCAAATGGTTTAAAAAAAAAAAAAAAGAAGCCATAAGCTCTACTGAATTGTTTCAGACCGGTAGAGGGAGAAAAAAATACCTGCCATATCTGACCCAACTCACCATGCAAATAGAAATTCAAGCTTTAGTGCAGGAAAAATAAAGTAGACGAAGGAAGGAGAGGTTTATTATCTTCCCTTTTCAAACATTTGGACTGACGGTATTACTGAATAAAAGCATAGTTTTGAATAGTAATATCAGGACTCTGGTTTGATATGGTTTGTTCTTTTTTCCGACTCCCTCTAGTGGTCTGGAGCACTTGCCTTTTGTGGAGCAAGTTTGCTGGGGGTTTTTTTTCTTTACTGTCTCGTCATTTTCTTTCGGTGGTTGCAGGTTTTTTTTTTTTTTTTTTTTTTTTTTTGCAGTTTTTATTTTATATTTGTTGTTTTGCGATTGTGTGTTTTGGTGTTTGCATCACACATGTTTTTTGCAACTCATTTCATCATTAGATGCGCGTTTGCACCTGTCCGCCACCGTATCTCAGCTCCTTTGACCGCGTTGTTCTTGAAGGCCAACAAGTCTGGTTCAGTTTAATAAGCAAAATATTTTTAGGAAACGCATCAGTGCATTATTCAGCCTGAAATATATATGTGTCACCAATATACAAGTAAGGGCTGACGGTTATTTTAACCGTCGACCCGTCTAGACATTCTTTTTTATGATCTCAATGTTTAAATAATTTTATTAATAAAAACTTTGACACCTTTCTAAGTATAAGTCTTAATGTTTTAATACTTATTGGGACTTTAAGTGGCCAGGAGGCTGAGTATTAAAGAATGGGAAAGGTTGATCCATAATATTGAAATTTCAAACATTCATAAAAATACTAGCTTTTTTACCTCGCCATACAATTTCCATGAATGACTCTGCATAGCAATGTGATGAACCTAAACGTCTGTCGTCTTTTTCTGCGTCTGTAAGCCCTGATTAGACTATCGTTTGTCGTATCCACTTCCCAAAAGCCGACTGTCAAGGAAATTCACCAAAGGCTGCCTTCTGCACCTGACTCTCCGCAAACAACGAAATATCATACATATAACCAAACTTCCTGAATGTCAGAGGCGCAGCCATGTTGATTTGCTCTAGAAGTGTAGTACCGTAGATCGTCACTAGGAGGCGATGAGCCTTGGTAATGTGGTGTGTGTAAACGGTTGAGTAACCAAGATCAGTTAAGCTCGGTCCGAACTCGGCATGGATCGGTTTTCAGAGGGTAGTGTAAATTGGGTTTAACACACATGTTGAGTTGCTTGCATCGCTAATCAGTGCACTCCGGCTATACTGCCCTCTGCAGCTGCCTTAGTGAACTGCATGTGATTTAAACTTCCATTGAGACGCTTCTAGATTTTAAATAATCCTTTGATGCGTAAAAGTTTGCTTTAACAATGTTTGTAGCTCCAATACTAATGAGCTGAGTACGGGTCATCATGAACCACTTCCTCATCCTGATAAAACCAACCCCTGTGTATGTTTTTGTGTGTTCAGGTGTGTGAGGTCCAGCCGACGCAGGGTGAAGGCAGAGACGCTTCCTCCAAAGGAGCAGCTGCAAAGGTAATGCTGCTTTTTGATCGGATGCTTTGTTCTTAGACTGCCTTTTTTATCGGCTGTTCGTTATCGTTACCCGACTGTTTCTCACCTGTGGCGGGATCAGGAGCTGTACGATAACGGCTTCACCGAAGCAATGATGGAGGAGGACGACGACTCTCGGACCAACCTGATCGTGAACTACCTGCCGCAGAGCATGAGTCAGGACGAGCTGCGCAGCCTCTTTAGCAGCGTGGGAGAGGTGGAGTCGGCCAAACTGATCCGCGACAAATCGGCAGGTAACCACGGCGACGCAGGTACTCATAGGGCTGGGGTACTCTTGGGGTAAATGTTTAAATGTTTCATTGCGATCAAATTAAAACATCTGATTCATTAATATAATCTTAATGATGTTAGATATAAATTTCAAAATTTTAGATTTTTTAATTTTATAAAGGAACCCGGCTTTATGTCGGAGTGTCAAACTCCAACTCTCCAGGTCAGGTGTCCTATAACTTTTAAGACGTGTTTCTGCTTCCACACCTGAATCAAACTGCTGAATTGGCTCCTCGGTGTGACGCCGGGTTCTGTTTAGTACCCGATTATTTGACGCTGATGTGTTGAAGCAGAGAAACGTCTATAAGGTGCAGGTTGTCGTACCTGGGGGACTGGAGTTTGGCATCTGTGTTCTCTGTGAAAAACGCATCAGAATTAATCTTTGATGACCCTGATTTGAAAGCTTCAGGAGGAACAGTCAGCCTTTGCATTTGACACCGCTCTGACCCGGCTGGTTCTGGGTCTCTGGTTGTAGTTGTTGCGGTTTTTAGTTTTTGTTGGGTTTTTTTACTCAAATGATTTTTATTTTTTTGTCCTTGTTGTTTTTAGTTTTGGAAAACTTTTTTCTATTTGACTGTGATTTTTTTTTTCATGCATATATTGAATCTAAATTTATTTCTGAAATATTTCTAAACTGTAATTTTATTTATTTTAATTACTGGATGATTTTTTTTTTTTTTTTTTTACCTGATGAAGCTGTAATTTTTAATATTTTTGATGACGTTCAGACGGGTTCTCAGCGAGTCCTTTGGCCGAACCCGGTCCTCTGTTTTTCTTTTAAAAGGTTTTTTGTCATTGTTTTTTCAGCTGATGTTAAAAGAAAGAAAATTCAGTAATATTTAAAGAAATGTTTTTGTTCTGAACAAATGGAGAAAACGGAGCAATATTTTAATTTTTATCTGAACCAAACTGGTTTTAAATGAAGGGTTTTGGGAGTTTGAGGTGTAAGGAACCATTTAAACATTATTTTATTTGTTTAGATTAGAGTTCTTCACCTCGCTGTCCTCCATGTTCCAGACCTTTCTCTGCCCCAGAACACCCGGAGAAAAAAACATGCAAGACAAAGGGCCCAGAGAACCAGGATTTATGGCCCCTATTTTAAAGACAAGAACATAAGATGCTAATTTTTAGCTTGGAGGAGTTTTGTAATTGCATATCTGAAAGGGCGTTTAATATAAACAGATATTTTGGTTTGATAACAAATGTTTTAATGAGATAACTTTGTAAAATATTGACCAAAGCAGAAGTGATCACCTTTAATAGGAAACAACTTTATTTTGACGCAGCTTGAATAGATAAGTTTATTCCACTTTGGCGGACAGGAAGTTGAGCTCAAAGTCAGATTAACCTGCTCATCTCATCTAAAGTCTAAATAATATAGATTTAAGTCTGAATGGATTTTCATAAATTAACTTTTTTGGCCTGAAAGCATCGAACTGCAGTCAGGACATTTATTCTGTTTAAATTTCTACAAACATTTTTATTGTTAACTCTGGTCCAAGGCTGTTGATGTTGATTATTTGTGGATTAGTTTATTTGTTTAACCAACCTTGAAATAAACTTAAACTTAAAAAATAAAACTAAATTCAGTTTTCTTTCAATTGAATAAGATAAAATAGTATTCACAATTATTTTAATTGACATCCATTGCAGATAAAACACGTTTAATAGGAAAATTGATAATGCAAATGGTAAATTAATCTGATTGTTTCAGTCCCACTCTGGTCTAAAATAGCTGTCTCTTTATCTATGGTTTGAGTGATACAATTTAAACAGAATCATTAACAAATCAAACAAAACATTAATGATGGTGTAAATATATGAGTTTAATGATATCCTTTCACCGTAACCATAGACTGGCCAGACGTATGTCTGTCTTGGGTGTTCCTACCATCTTCCTGTGTTGTCATAGTAACTGAAGCCTTCCTGGACCAAGCAAGGGTAGAGAAGATTTTTAAAAGTAGCTCCTTTGGACCAATCAGCTGTTAGGATTTTAGAAAGGAAAAACCCTTTTAACTCTTTGGCATCGTTGATTTTATGCGCTGAGGCCCGTTTTCTTGGTTTGCTCAGAACTTCTTTTGTTTTTGTTGTGTTATGGACCTGGTTGTTATTTCTTCTGTCAGTTTTTGAACACTGTTTCTTTCAGAATGTGATGGCTGTAACAGAGAGTTTTGCTGTTATTTTGTTGTTTTCCTTTGTGTTTCTCTAGGCCACAGTTTAGGTTACGGCTTTGTTAACTTTGTTAACCATAGTGATGCAGAGAGGGCTATCAGTACCCTCAATGGCCTGAGGCTACAGTCTAAAACTATCAAGGTAACGCGCCACAGGTGCTCTTTGATTTTTTCCTCTTTCAACTGATAGATGTGTTATGTTTCCTGGACAGTAGGGGGCGCTCTCAGCTGCAGCGTCTGAAGAACGGAGGTATTTTGTTTGCTGCTCTGACGCTCGTTGGCACTGAATCTGTCTCTTTTCTCCAGTTCAGTGAGACGATGCGTCAAGACTTTAGTTTGAAAAATGGATGCTTTTATTTTGGAAAACTACACAAATACATGTTATTTTTTTCTAAATTCTGATAAATGTTAAATTTATTTTTACTGTTTATTTAAAATATCCTGTCTTTTATTTGGACACTGAATGTAACTTTTTTTTGTTTGTTTTTTTTTTTTTTTCAATATTTTCTGTATTTTATTTTATTTTAAACTTTTATTTTGTGAAGAAGAGGAGCTGAAATCTTCCTCTCTCCTCCCTGCAGGTGTCGTTTGCTCGCCCGAGTTCTGACACCATCAAAGACGCCAACCTGTACATCAGCGGTCTCCCCAGAACGCTGAGTCAGCAAGACCTGGAGGACATGTTCTCCTCCTTTGGACGCATCATCAACTCCAGGGTCTTGGTGGACCAGGCGTCAGGTGAGGTCACATGACCAGTGGTTTTGCACTTCAGATCAAGTATGGCCGACTTTCTGGCTTTCAGGGCGTTCAAATTAAAACGTTTCCTACTCAGAGTTCAGAAATTCTGACCAGTTATTGATTATTTCAGTTATCAACTAGTTATCGATGAATTAATCTAACATTGTCTGACCTTATCAATTGACTAAGGATTAACGGCGATTTTTTAAAAACCTGAATTTTCTCTGGATTTTTCCATAATGACTGTTTTTTTTTCAATATGCTGAATTAAAAGAAATTGTTCATCATTATATTTAAAGTTTATTGTCACATTTGTATTAAATACTGATCAAAAACAAAATTATATTGCTTTACACTCACTAGCTTAGACATGTATGAGATAAAGAAAACGGGAACCTTTTAGTTTGCTGGTATCTGCTCCAACCTGTTCAGTCCAATGGACCATTATGTGGATCCCTATCAGCTTTTCCATCGAACTCGCTCCACCGTTTTGGCTCTCCTTTAAAAGAACTGCTGTCTTCTGATTGGCTGCTCAGGTCTCTCTCGGGGAGTGGCGTTCATCCGCTACGATAAGAAAGCGGAGGCTGAGGACGCCGTGAAGCACCTGAACGGACACGTCCCACCCGGTGGATCTGAGCCAATCACGGTGAAGTTTGCTGCCAACCCCAATCAGGGCCGAAACTCCATGATGATGTCACAGACGTACCACGGCCAATCGCGACGCTTCGGGGGCCCAGTCCATCATCAGGCGCAGAGATTCCGGTGAGTAATAAGATAAATTTTTTAACTCTGCTGAGATGGCGTGCTCTGATTTTAACGACCTAACCTCTCATTGGTCCAGCTATTCTGATGATTTGGTTTCTTTGTGTTTGCTTCCAGGTTTTCTCCAATGACTGCTGACCACATGGGGGCCGGGGGCGGAGCCTCTGGGAGCCCATCGTCTGGTTGGTGCCTGTTTATCTATAACCTGAGCCAGGACGCAGACGAAGGAATGCTGTGGCAGATGTTTGGGCCTTTTGGCGCTGTCGTCAACGTGAAAGTCATCCGAGATTTCAACACCAACAAGTGCAAAGGCTTCGGTTTCGTTACCATGGCGAACTACGAGGAGGCCGCCATGGCCATCCACAGCCTAAACGGATATCAGCTGGGAGACAAAGTCCTTCAGGTGTCCTTCAAGACCAATAAAGGACATAAGTAGGCAGGAGGCTGCAGTGGGCGGGGCTAAAGATCACATGTAGTTCCTCTTTTTTGTTTTTTTTTCTATTAGCATGCAGATTTTTTTTTTTTTTTTAGATGTGAAACTCACTTTTAGTCAATTCTATGGACTTGGAGACAATGTTGGACCCAAAGGGTACTGGGAGTTGTGGGACATTCAGATCCGAAGTTTTTCAGTCCCTGCAACCTCACTGGAAGCTGCGGCACTGAAACTTGAAAATGTTGTCAGAGGTGGATGAAATGTTTGAGTATCAGCCTCCATGTTTGCTTTGTTTTTTTTTTTTTTGTTTTTTTTATCAGTTTTTATGTGAAGCAGTTTCCGCCCTGCAGACTCCAGCAGTCAGTAAATGAATCATTCATGTTTATCTGATGTGTTCTGGAAACTGAAGTCAAATAAAAACACCATCAAAGCTCAGAGGTTTCTGATGAGGTTCTGACTTCATGTCGGCTCTAAAAACAAACTGAACAGCAGGCTTTTAGCTAGCCATGCGTACAGCCGTACATTGTACGGCCTTTAATTTAAAAAGGACAAATTGTACGCCCTGTTTTTCCTGTCGGAAATTTCACTCAAATGTCAAAATTTGCAGATCCGGGCTTCACCGGGCCGCCATCTTCAATTCCCCTTCTAGTCTCCTGTAATTTCGCACGAAGCTCACATCTTGTCCGGGTATATGTCAGATACGTTGGTGTGACACAGTGCAGAGCGGCGCTGTTATTGGTGTGATATCTAATATCCCTCCACACACTGCTTGCAAACAGGTAAGCTTGAAACTTAAAAATTTTACAAAAACTCATTGAATGCCTGATAACAACTATAGGATTATTTTGGAGGTTTTTTTGTTCTTTGGAAAAATATTATCCGTTAGAGATGGGTTCATGAGGTGTCATGATGCGTTTCAGCACACTTGCAAACCATTGATTGAGTGTAGATACTGTCACTGAACACTGACACCTGCTGGACATTTAAAATTCCTACAGCCTCTTTGACAGACTAAATTGACACCGATTTGATGACCTGTAATATGATTTAAGCCAATTTTTTGCTGTAATGTATGATTTCATATCTATAATTTGAATAGAAATATGTTTGATATTTTTTAGATCCAATCCATAGATGTGAACATACAACAGGAAAATTTAAGGGAAAATTTAAATAAGGATGTTTGCGGACTAGGATTTAATTTCTTTACAACATAACTGATAAGGAGTTTGTGAATTTGGTGAAATATAAGAGAGAAAAAAAAAAAGGGAGAACCACAACTCCAACTTCTTCAAGAGCAATGGGGTAAAAAATGTGACGTACATAAAATTTTGTTAAATATTAACAACAATGAATTAGTAATCACTGATTTTAAACTAGAATTACTTGGAATCTCCAGCAATATTAATTTAAAGTAAGATATTAATTTAGAATTCTTATTTTCTTTCATATTGTTCATTCATTATATGCTCTAGCTACATTTTTTGTTTGTTTGAAAGAATTTAATTCCATCTCTAAACAGTTAGCAATTCTAAGACCAGCAGGGATTATAAGCCAAATTAGCCACCCCTAAATGACAATTGTTCCCTACCACCAAGGACAATTGTCATTTAACCCTACGAAGCTCGTGCCGTGCAAAGCCTGAAGTTGTGGTCCACCAAAGTTTACACCCTTTGAGACATTACTAGCTAAAAGCCTGCTGAATAGGTTCATCGCTTTATTTCCATTGGTTTCATATTTCCTACTTGGTGTGATGTTGACTGTTTATCCAATAATAAATCTGTTCATGTAAAGGATGCTGTGATGACTTTCTGTCCAATTAAATCTGCTTGTCAGGCAGATTCGGTATTAACCAGAGGATTATTTCATAAAAATTCCTCAAAAAAGGCAGACCTGGATCCTTTGTAATTAGTCTGGGTTTTTACAGATTCAAATGCATCATTAATCAGTCTGCAAAGAAACCTTTCAGAAATCTGTCTTAATATATTATTAGAGGTTAAACACTATCGCTTTCAGATGGTGCGGTTAACGGTTGTCTTACTTGGGTTCCTGCACATATGAGCTAATGTAGGAAATGAAATGGTTGACAAGAAAGTAGAAGAATTAACCCTTTAAGGGGGAATCCGTGAAATACTTTGAAATTCAAAATGTCAAGCAAATAGTGTTATTGGAATCCAGGACAAGACCTTATTACTTTTCTAACATTCAAAAAATATGGATATTTTGATGGCAAAAACTAATCTCAGTGTAATAAAACGCCAACTTGCCCCGATATATTCAGAAAAAAAATTGTCTTTCTATAAGAAATTCATGAAAATGCTTTGAGAGCTAAAGAAACACTTTTTTTTTCTTTTTTCTTTTTTTTTAGTCCAACATAACCTTAAAGGAATTAATGCTGATACTGGCACTTACATTTTTTTGTTTATAAACCTAAATATAATTGTTAACTAGGCTTATTAATTTTTTAACTTTGCTTTTTTAATTTTTCAGTTAGCTTTTTACATTTTCTTTTTGGGACTTGTTAACTTTTTTCCCCCCAACTTAATTTAAAGTAGGTTATATATTATTCAAGGGCTCATCTAATTGGTCAAACTGCAAAATAAGATGTCCAGCCATGTAGCACAATCTTTGCTGAATGGCTGGATATAGATCTAGTGCTTCTAGACCTCACTGAGGGACGGGGCTCTATCTGTAAGGGATGTTTAAGTGATCAAAAATGGTGAGTTGCCCAATAAAGGGTTAAAAAACGAGTCACAGGGTTATTAATCAGTAAACTGGAGGTTAAGAGCATTTTCAAAGGGAAAAATAAAGAGAAATTGAAGATATGAAAAGAAGATGGTTCTATAAAGGGTGAGGTTGGAGAAATTAGAAGAAATATTGGAAGAAACAGAATTCAGGACAGGATGACTAGATTAAGGTTGGTTCTGGCAGGACATAATTCACTATTATTGACAAAACATGAGAAATGTTGTGAATTTAAAACAACAAAGTAGTAGTAATGTAAAACTGTAGGAAACACCAGAGGCAAAGAACAGAACTAACAAGGAGTCTTGAACAGGAAAAGGTGTAACTTGTTTTAAAAAAAGTACGTTTGATGAGAAAAAATTTGTAATTGGTTTGGGGAAGATAATATAGTTTACCGGTGGGTGGCAGTAATGCACCAAACTGTTGTTTACTAACCCGCCATTACAACTCAAGAAGAAGAACGTTTAACCATTTGATAGAGATGAAATAATTCTAATTTTTTTCATCCATACGTAGAGGAAGGATTTGGATTTAACTAAATATTTTAATGTCTGTGATTAAAAAATATATTTTCATTTTTTAGAGAATGATTCAGCTCCTATGGAAAGCGACTAAAAAAAATAATCCATCTTTATAATCTTCAAAGAGGACGGGGAGATTCTTCATTAGGTCCACTGCTCGGTATCAACTCAAATAATCCAGGTAGGTTAATCTGTCTGAATGAAAACAGATTAAGATATTTATTCTGAGGACCCGGAGACGGTGGAGGACAGATCAACGTCCTGGGCTAACAATTTGTGAGATTTCCAGCATTGTTTTGAATAGTGACTAAAAAAAACTAAAATAAAATTATTTTTAAAGAAAATGAACAGACTCTGTCCCTTAAAAATGTTGGCTAGTTTGTTGTGTCTGTATAATTTCTACATGTTTATCAATAGTGCTGGATAGCTTTTATTTTTTTTATCAAACCATATGGGGCTTCCATTAAAAACATCGATTATCTATTTAAACAGTGATTATCGATGACGTCATGGTGGTTCTCAACAGTTTTTGGCAGCCGCGCGCCCCCAATTACATAACATGTAGGCCTAGACCACCTGCATTAAATATTGTTTTAATAGGCTTCTTTTAATTATACTGTTTTTCAGTTATTATTAATTGTACATTGATAATGTTGTCATTATTGATAGGCAGCTGTCTGAATCTATCTATCTATCTATCTATCTATCTATCTATCTATCTATCTATCTATCTATCTATATTTATTTATATATATATATATATATATATATATATATATATATATATATATATATATATATATATATATATATATATATATATAGATAGATAGATAGATAGATAGATAGATAGATAGATAGATGTATACATATATATCCATATCCATGTAAGCTTTCCCTGCCAGCATTGTACACCCTGCAGTTATGTGCTGGATTGTCTCAGGGGCCTCTATGCACAGTCTGCACCTGCGGTCTTGTCTGGTGTGGTAGATCTGGGCCTCTATTGCTCTGATGTTTAAGGCGTGCTCCTGTGCAGCCATGATGAGTATATATATATCTCCTAAAGTGCCTTATCGATTACACCTGGACAATAAGAACATTTATGCACACATGGTGTTTGTTGACTTCAGCTCAACATTCAACACTATCATTCCGGCTAATTTAATTGCCAGACTTCATGACCTGGGCATCAACACCTCCATGTGCAACTGGATTTTGGACTTTTTGACCAACAGACCCCACAATGTCCGATAAGGATCTAACTGCTCTACGTCCATTACACTCAACACTGGTGTACCACAGGGCTGTGTGCTAAGCCCGTTTCTCTACTCCCTCTTCATCCACAGCTGCAAGTCTGTGTACAACTCTAATTCCATCATGAAGTTTGCGGACGACACTGCGGTTATTGGTCTTATCCGCAACAACGATGAGACTGTCTATAGAGAGATCAAGCACCTGGCCACATGGTGCACTGAAAATAACCAGCTCCTCAATGCCACCAAAACGAAGGAGCTCACCACCATCCACGTCAATGGAACGGCTGTTAAGTGTGTCTCCAGTTTCAAGTTTCTGGGGATCCACATCTCAGCGGACATGTCCTGGTCAACCAACACCTCCTGCCTGGTTAAGAAGGCTCAACAGCACCTCATCTTCCTAATGATACTAAGGAAGAAACAGCTCTCCTCAAATATCCAGGAGACTTTTATCTCTTTTATGTGCAATAGAAAGCATCCTGACCAACTGTGCAACAGTGTGGTAAGGGAGCTGTTCTGTTGCAGAGCGCAAGGCACTGCAGCGGGTGGTGAAAACTGCCCAGCGCATCACTAGTACTCCACTCCTCACCATGGAGCACATCCAGAGGAAACGCTTCCTACATTGAGGTTGCGGCATCCTCAGGGGCTCTTCGCATCCAGCCCAGACATTGCTTTCTCTCCTGCCTTCCCGCAGGAATTTCAGGTGCCTCCGGACCAGTACCAGCAGACTAAAGAACAGCTTTTCCCCTGAGCTGTCTCTTTATTGAACTCTAATCGTCACTGATCCCACTCCAATCATATATTGATTACTCAACTCAACTCAACTCAACTCAACTTTATTGTCAAATGTGCTACATGAAACATACAACACAGATGAAATTTCCATCCCCTCAACCCCACGGTGCATAATAAAATATAAAAATATATATATATATATGTATTAAATGAGCCATAGCACTAAAATAAAAACCTAAGATATAAAATAAATATTAAAATATTAATATGTAAACAGTAGTGTGAATGGTGCAAATAGTGCATAGAGTAGCAGTCCAGGGGAGAGTGGTGGAAAGTAGTGGAGGATGGGGATATTGGGGGGTCAGGGAGGGGCGAAGGGGGGCAGGGCAGGGAGGGAATTGAGGGAATTGTTAAGTTAACATTGTTTTTGGACTGTAAAAAGTGAAAGGGATGAACATGGACTTCTGAAAAAGTGCAGGGGACATCTTCCCCGTTCCCCACCAAATTATGTCAGTGTTTTTTAAGTGGGCGTTGCTGGGTGCTGTTTAGCACCCTCACCGGTCATGCTAAGAAGGCCGGGTACCCTTTTTTAGCATAGCTTGGAACTAGAGGCTGGAACAAGAGTTAAGTCAAAGTCAAAAAGTCAAAAAGCCTTTATTGTCATTATATTCTGCAACGGATACAATGAGATTTTGGGATTTCCATATCAGCTACCGTAAAATAAAAAAAATAAAAAATGAAAAATAAAAAAAATATATATAAATATATAAAAAGGAAAAGGAAATGTAAACAGTACTGGCACAGATTGTGGGGTGGGTGGGGGGGAGGGGTAGTGCAAAACAGGTGTAAAGTGACCAACAGAGCAGGTCGGAGTTGAGGGCGGCAATGGCTTGGGGAATAATGCAAACCAGGTGAAAAGTGTCCGTCAGTGCAGGTCGGAGTTGAGGGCAGCAATGGCTTGGGGGGAGAAACTGTTCTTGAGTCTGTTTGTCCTGATCCTCATTTGCCTGTAGCGCCTTCCAGAGGGCAACAGATCAAACAGGGTGGAGCCAGGGTGGGAGCTGTCCTTGGAGATGGCCCTGGCTCTGCTGAGGCACCGGGTGGAGTAAATGTCTGTCAGGGAGGGGAGAGGGCGAACGGTAATCCTCTGCGCCGCCTTTATCACCCTCTGCAGCCTCTCTCTGTCGGCAGCGGTGGAGCTGCCGAACCATACTATGATGCAGTAGGTCAGCAAGCTCTCGACGGAGGAGCGGTAGAAGGCCAGCAGCAGATCGGAGGTAAGGTTATACCTTCTGAGGATTCTCAGAAAGTGTAACCTTTGCCGGGCCTTCTTGATGATGGTGGTGATGTTCTCTGACCAGGTGATGCGGTCAGAGATGTGGACGCCGAGGTATTTGACCCTGTGAACCCTCTCCACCTGCTCGCCGTTGATGGAGAGGGGAGCTGGCTCAGGGCTGTGCCTCCTGAAATCTATGATGAGCTCATTGGTTTTCTTGGTGTTCAGAGTCAGATTGTTCTCTGAGCGCCAATCAGCCAGCTTCAGGACCTCCTCTCTGTAGGCGGCCTCGTCGCCCCTGGAGATGAGGCCGACCACAGCGGTATCGTCGTACTTGATGATCCGGTTGTGTTTGTGGATCGGTCTACAATCGTGGGTGTAGAGGCAGAAGAGGAGGGGGCTCAGCACACAGCCCTGTGGGGAGCCGATGCTCAGCGTGCGGGTGGAGGAGAGGTGGGGGCCAACTCTCACATCCTGGGGTCGGTCGGTCAGGAAGTTGTTAATCCAGGCACATGTGAGAGGGGGGAGTCCAAGGGAGCCCAGTTTGATGATGAGTCTGTCCGGGAGGATGGTGTTAAAGGCCGAGCTGTAATCCACAAAGAGCATCCGGACGTAGCTCTGCTGCTGCTCCAGGTGGTTCACAGCAGAGTGGAGAGCTACGGCAACGGCATCCTCCGTTGAACGGTTGGCCCGGTATGCAAACTGTTGGGGGTCCAGGTGTGGGGGGAGACAGTCCTTGATGTGCTGAAGAACCAGCTTCTCAAAGCACCTCATGATTACCGGAGTGAGGGCCACTGGGCGGTAATCATTCAGGCTGGTAATGGCAGACGTCTTCGGCACCGGAATGATGGTGGAGGTTTTCAGGCGGGACGGAACGGTGGCTTGGGCCAAGGACAGGTTGAAGAGCCTGGTGAAGGTGGGGGCGAGCTCGCCCTGCGCATGCTTTTAGCACCTTGCCAGGGACTCCGTCTGGGCCTAGAGATTTCTCCCCAAATCAAAGGAGCAACGATGCAACATCCCTTCAGAGACTTCCCTTCAGTGGCTTTTCCTACTCTGGGACATGCCAGAGTAGGAAACAATGCTGACTTTCACTCAGAGGGGGCTTGATACTTGCAATTCTTGGTAAAACTTTTGAGTAGTTGTTCGAATACATTTAAATGTCTATTGCCATTTTCTCCCTATATCTGTAAAGACAATTGTTAATGTTCTAATTTTCTTCATTCCCTTAGGTCCTCGACAGCATCATGTCTCTAAGGACATTAGATGTTGTTCCTAACATTGGAAAACAAAGGAGCACAAAGGAGCAGAAAGAAATGGAACCAAATCAGACGACCGAAGTAAATAAAGAACCAGAGCTTCAATCAATCGAGGAAAAAAGGGTTGAACTCTGGATTTTTCAGGAAGAAGGGCTGCCTTTATTGAAGCAGGAGATCAGCACCTCTATAGTGACTCCTGGTTACAAGGAGGAACCAGAACCTGTACCAGTTAAGGTCGAACTGGAGGAACCAGAAGCTGTACAGATTAAAGAGGAAGAGAAGAGAATGGAACTGAATGAGATGAAAGAAGAACCAGAATCTAAACCAATTAGAAAGGAGCAGGTTGAACTGCAGTTCTCTCTGGATGAAGGGCTTCATTTAGTGAAGCTGGAGAACAACACCTCTATGGTGACTGCCGCTGACAAGGAATGGAGGATGGAGGCAAAGGAGGAACCAAAACCTGTAGGGATTAAAGTGGAAGAGATAGACATAGAACCAGCGCAGATGATTGACACAGAGAAGAAACCAGACCCTTTCCCAATGAAAGAACAAGCTAAACTCAATATCATCCAGAACAAAGTGCAACCTTTAGGGAATCAGGAGACCCAGCCCTTTATTCTGACTCCTGCCGTTGATCAGAACGACTACAGTGAACCAGAAACAATCAAGAATCATATGCTTAGTTTAACGCTCCCTCATATTCAACAAACCTTAACCATGGACACCAGAAATAACACTGCATCAGAGTCTTTTGTTTGTGAAACATGCAGTAGAGCTTTCTCCTTCAGTTGTAGTCTGGTTCGTCACATGAGAACTCACAGTGGTCAGAGGCCGTTTCCTTGTGAATTGTGTGAAAGGTCTTATTGCGACCGTAACACTTTGAATAATCACATGAGAACTCACACAGGTGAGAAGCCGTTTATTTGCAAAATGTGTAGTAAGTCTTTCACTAAGAGTAGTAGTTTGGTTTGTCACATGAGAACTCATAGCGGTGAGAAGCCGTTTGCCTGCAAAATGTGTGACAAATCTTTCAACAGAAAAAGTAATTTGGTGTATCACATGAAAACTCACTCTGACGATGAGCCCTTTGCCTGCAAAAAATGTAATAAATCTTTCAGTGAAGAAAGTATTTTGGTTTATCACTTGAAAACCCACTCTGGTGATGAGCCCTTTTCTTGTACAACGTGTGATAAATATTTCAGTAGACAAAGTAATTTGAATCGCCACATGAGAACTCACACAGGTGAGAAGCCTATCTCATGTAACACCTGTGGTAAAAAATGTCTAAAACCACAATCTTTGGAAAGGCATATCAGAACTCATAGAGGGGAGAAGCCGTATCTATGTTCAACCTGTGGTAAAGGCTTTAGTGACAGAAGTAATATGCAGAGACACATGAAAATTCACACAGGTGTAAAATCTTTCTCATGTGAAACCTGTGGAATGAAACTTTCCAGACCGCAGTATCTAAAGGCACACATCAGAACTCATTCAAAGAAGAAGCAGTAAACATGCTAAATTAGACAGATGAAAAGGCTTCTTCCTGTACCCTTTGTGGTACGTCATTTCCTGACAAAAGTCGACTCCCCAGTCTCAAGAGAACTCACACAGGTACTAAACCATAACCTTAACCGACTCTTGTGACTATTGTTTTATACGTCGTTTTATTTTGGCTTTTGAGCCTAATGCTTCATATTTGTAAGATGGGTAACTGGTACATTGTCACATTACTTGAAGTGTTTGGTTAATAAATTCTTCTTTTTTGAAGAGAATGTTATTTTCTTTATTCTGTGTCTAGGGCAGGTTGTTTGAGAGTCCCAGTGAACAATTTCCATCCATCTATGGCTCTATTATCCCACCCCTCACCATGCAGGTACTGATAAAACAATGTACGACTTTAGCTAGAGAAAAACTAGTAACTAATTTAAGCTTAAACCTATTATAAAAGCTTATAGGCTTAGTGTATTATTGTCAATATTGGTTTAGAAACAATAAGAATATAAAGAGAAAAATCAGTACATAGAAAATGAGTAACTGAAAACACTGTCAGGTGTAGCGGAAAAATATTCATATCCCATTCATTTTTGAAATAGGGATTTATATTTAGTTTCCCTTGTCTAACACATTTTAGAAAAACCTTTGATTGCAGATTTGTTTTTTTAAGGCTTTCTTTTCACGTTCTGGTTCATTTTGAAATGTTGGTAGATAGAATACTGCAGGTTTACATGAACAGAGTTTTCAAGCAAAATGCTACAATCTCAGAGTTGACAGAAGTTATTGTCTTTGGACCAGAGTCCTTAAAAAACATGCTGATTTTTTAGTCACTTCATCTAGATGGCATTGAAATGGCCTCTGATAATGGTAAAGTTTATAGTTCTAGTGCCTGAGTTTATGCTAAGCTATCTCTATTACTATGCTCTTATTGGCTTAGGCTGCTGGAGGACATGGGGACTACTTTTCATCATTCTTCTTCATTCTATCTCTATTCAATTCAGTTTATTTATATAGTGCCAATTCACAACACATGTCATCTCAAGGCACTTTACAGTTCACCAGATCATACAGTCAAACTGATTCAAAGTTTTCTATCTAAGGAAAACCAGTTGATTGCATCGACTCTATTATCCCATTCTGCAGTATTTGTTAGTTCAACCTCTATCTTTATGTTCTCTCTGGTTTTTCTCATCACAGTAGCTTCATCTGGCTTAGTTTTGTTTAGCAGTGACTCCATCCTAAAGAGATGCATCAGCTGGGCTGCCTCAATTACCAACTTTGGTCATAGATAATGGAGTAAGGCCTGGTTTTTAGTGTTTAGTCTTGTTTCACTTCAAGACATAGTTAATGACTGACCTTTTACTGTGCTTTGTTTCTTCCCTTTTGACATGAAAACAAGCTCAGAGCTAGTACGTATACCATTGCCCTCTCTAATGTTTAAAGTATTCCTGGATCAGCGCTTCCGTGTTCCTTTTGTGTGTCTGCTTCTGTCTTCTTGAACACGTCAGTCTTTGTAGAAGGCCATTCACACTGCAGGAGGTTTCTTCCTGTTAAACAGGAGTTTTCCCTCTCCCCTGTCGCTTGGTGTTAGAGATTGCTGAAGAGTCAATGATACAATGCAAGGAAATGTTTTCTGTTGCCACAAGTTGATCGAAGAGGATTGAATTCTGTAAAGTCATTAGCTGTGTTTCTATTAACCGAAATTTGAAATTTTATGGAACTTTTAAATTTTGAAAAAAAGATATGCATAGCTGTAGTAAACAGGAAGTAGAGGCTGCAATCTAGCATGGAGCACAGATCAGTAATGGAGGAAAGTTTTAATGAATTTGTTGCAATCATAGACATTTTTTTAAGTTAACATGTCAGATACTAATGGCAATGTTGCCACTAATAATAGGTAGATCTGGGAAGACAGCAAAAGCAGACACAGCTGCTCAGTCATGTAAGTAAAAGTTTGCTACATCAGAGCTGACTCAAAACAAGTGTTTACATCTCCCGTTTTGCACATCAACCCTTTTTCACAAATGGCAAAAAACAACTCAAGTGAGAGTAAAAACTTTTTGGTGGATTTAAGGGAGGTTATTTGAATTATGCCTTTTCCTTTAAGTTTTTTTGATGCAATACTTAAAAATGCACATTAGAAAAAGCAGATGGAAACACACCTATTGAATGGATGCAATCTGCTGGGTTTCCTTAGTTTGAAAGCTCTTGACCTATCTTTCTTTATAATCTGAAGGATTATCTCTGCCTTGAGATTACATATTTTGAATTGGCGCTTTATAACTAAACTAAACTGAAAGACTGAAATGAATATAAAATTTGTTTAATTTGAGGCTGTTTGTGTTCTTCCCTAAATCAATCTTTTCTGGTAGTTGTTACTCTTATTTAAATGATAAAACTGTGTTTAAGTTTGTTCAACTCAGGGATTTAGCCAAGTAAATATGTGTTCATCAAACAGGGTTAAATAACAGATTGTTGGAATGTAAAACATCAGAAAGTGTAGAATATATATTACTGCACTGTAGGAAACATTAGGATGAGACTAAAACCAAAGATAATTTTGGCAGGAAGGAAACTGAAGCTTCAAAGTTTATGAAGAATAAATGGAAAGGAAAGCTGTTGAGCATTATTCATAAATATAGAAACATATAACATATATTTTTTTCCAGTATAATTTTTTTCACTTATGATGTAAAGTGATCCCATCGAACATGAATCAGTCTACAAACGCATGAAATGAAAAGAGAATGGTAACATAATGAAGTTGGGGTTAAAACTAGCTTATATAGTAGACAATTGTATTATAGTTATTTAAAAATTTACATAGATGGTTCAAAAAATTCAAAGGAAATTGGGAATAGGGATATTCATTCCAGAGTTTAATATATGTATATGGAAAAGATTAACAGACCTTAAATATTTAATGTAAGAAAATATGGAAATATTAAAATTATGAATTATTATAATCCATGTTAAAATCTTGATAGTGATATATTTAGGGAGATAGCGGGGTAAATACATAGAAGAGAAATATGGTGTGGTGAATTTAATGCTCACAATAGTCTTTGGGGTAGCAGGAAGACAGATCAGAATGGTAACATTGTTGAAGAAATAATGGATGAAAGGTCATTAGTTTGTCTTAATAATGGAAAAGGTACAAGAGTAAATATACATAAAAATACAGTTTCATGTCTTGATATTACATTATTGTCTTGTTAGTTCATGCAAATGGGATGTCAACTGGGAGTCTACCATAGGGAGTGATCATTTTCCAGTAAGTACAATAATTGATGACAATATAAACAGGCAAGAAGATTTCGTATTAACAAGATAGTGCTTTAATAAAGCTTATTGGCAAAAATTTTAAATTAAGTGTGAGGAAACCAGTCATATGGTTACATTAAAAGGCAACATTGAAGAATGTGCAAGGATGATAACAGAACATATTTTAAATGCAGCAAGTTATAGCATACCGACAATAAAAAATAAAAGGTAAGAAAAATGTAGTTCCTTGGTGGAATGATGAATGTAGTAAAGTAGTTAAGGAGCGTAACAAGGCATTTAAAATATTACAGAAAAATCTAACAACCGAAAACCTTATTGAATATAAAAGGAAAAGAGCAATGGTTCGTAAAACTATTAAGGAAGCAAAAAAGAAAATATGGAGAGAATATTGTTCCTCAACAGGTTCAGAAATAAAATGACAGAATGTTTGGTCAATGTTTAGGAAAATGACGGGGAAAAGGAATGATGTTAAAATACCAGCCTTAGTTAGAGATCAGGAAATAGTAGTTTTAAATAAAGATAAGGCAGATTTATTAGGCGAGACATTTGCTGCAGTTCATAAAAATGTAAAAAAAAATGTATATCAACATTAGACATGAATATAACTATGAAAGAAATTAAAACAGTATTGAAAGGGACAGGATACTCAGCTCCAGGATCAATTATGCTATGCTATGTTTCAACAGATACCGGAAGTAACATTGAAATTAATATTAAATTTATTCAATAAAATATGGAAAGAAGGTTCAATACCAAATAGTTAGAAAAGGGAAACAATTTTACCGTTTAATAAACCAGGGAAAGATCCTATCAGTCCAAATGATTATAGACCAATAGCTTTAACTTCTCATTTAAGTAAATGGATGGAGAAAATAGTGGTCAGTAGATTAGGGTTTGTTCTTGAACATAAGAAATTAATTAATGGATACCAGTGTGGATTTAGAGCAGGGAGATCAACAATGGATGCATTAACTAGAGTCAGTAATGATATAGAGAAAGCGTTAAAAAAGAAGGAGATAATGATTGTAGTATTTTTTGATATAGAAAAAAGCATATGATTCATTATGGAGAGAAGGGTTACTTATAAAAATAAAGCAGATGGGAAGATGTCAAATTGGATAGCAAATTTTTTTATGGATAGAAAAATAAGGGTGAAGATTGGGAATGATTATTCAAAAGAATTTAATGTTGAAAATGGAATACCTCAAGGTAGTGTAATAAGTCCAATTTTATTTAATATCATAATTAATGATATTTTTTCAGATACTGATAAATGTAGTAAATCTGCATTATATGCAGATGATGGGGCCATATGGATGAGAGGAAAGAATATAAAACATTTAGTAGAAAATATTAATAAAGAAATTAATGAAGTAGAAAAATGGTCCTATGAATGGGGTTTTAAATTATCAGCAAACAAGTGTTTGTTTCGTGGTATTCACAAATAAGAGAAATATTGATATAGGAACAATAACATTATATGGACAGCCGCTGGAAAGGGTTGCAGAATTTAAATACCTAGGACTATGGTTAGATAGCTCTTATACATGGAAAATATATATAGATAACTTGGAAACTAAATCTAAGAAAGTTATAAATCTCCTTAAGCCTGTGGCTGGAAATAACTGGGGTGCAGATAGACAGTCATTATTAAACATATATAGGGCTCTCATGAGATCAGTAATAGATTATGGCAGTTTTATTTATGGAGCAGCAGCTAAAACAACATTACAAAGGATAGATACATTACAGAGTAGAGCTTTACGTATATGTACAGGAGCAGTGAAAACAACACCTATCAACACTCTTTTAGTCGAGACTGGAGAAACTCCACTGGAAATGAGAAGAATGAAATTAGGTTTAATATATTGGATGAAAATTAAAAGTAGTATGGATGAAAATGTAACTTCAACAATTCTACAAACTTGTTGGGAATATTCAAAGTTCCATAATAATGGATTTGCATGGGTTATAAGCAAATTGATTAAAGAGTTTGGATTGGAGGATAAGGAAATAGCACAGTTTAATCCAATTAGTGTTATTCCTCCATGGCTATTTCCTGAGATAAATGTAGACATGAGACTTATTAAAATGAAAAATGATTGGAATTTAAACGAAATAGGGATACAGACTGATATATATTTAAGAAACTCATATTATAATTACCTTAAAATATATTCAGATGGTTCTAAGAATTTAAAAGGGTGTGTGGGAATAGGCATATATGTACCAGAGTTCAAAATACAAATTTTAAAAGAATTTTAGATCAACTATCTGTTTTCACAGCAGAGATGGTGGCAGTTATACTGAGTTTCCAATGGATTGAGGAGGTCAGACCAGACAGGGTGGTGGTATGCACGGATTCCAACACAGTTTTAGAAAGTATTCAGGGAGAAGGAAATAATAGGAAAGATTTAGTATTAGAAATTCAGCACAGTTTATTTAGATTATACAGGAGTGGTATTGATATTTGGTTTTGTTGGGTTGCAGCACATGAAGGGGTAAAAGGAAATGAAAAGGCAGACAAATTAGCAAAAAAGGGCTTTAGAGGAGGCAATAACAATTACAATTCCTTTAGGGAAAGGGGAAGGAAAATCATTTATTAAGAAGAAAGAAATTGAAAAATGGCAAAAAAGGTGGAATGAAGATAAAAAAGAAGGAAGATTATATAAAGTACAAAAGTCAGTATTAAATTGAAATATTAATGAGAGAAACCGAAGGGAAGAAATAATAATGATCAGATTAAGAGTAGGTCATACTTATTTAAATGACAATTTATATTTAATAGGGAGGAAAAATAATGATAAATGTGAAGGATGTGGAGAGATAGAAAATGTAGAACACATATTGATGAACTGTAAAACATATGAACCTGAAAGGGAGAAACTGAGAAGAGTAGTTGAAAGGACAGGCCAAGAATGGAGTCTTAAAGGATTATTGGGAAAGGAAATATAAAGGATATTTATAGATTAAAGGGATAGTTCGGGATTTTTGACATGAATCTGTATGGCATCCCCATCACCAGTGTCATGCAATCACATTGACTTACCCCTGGCAGCGTCCTGTGAGCAGAGTTCTCGTCCAGCTTTGGTCAAGCCGAAAGTAGTCCGGCAGGTTTGCTAGACCCAGCGAAATAAAACGTTTCTCTTCCCAAAACATTATGTGTTCAAAAGAGTGATATTTTTGCATCCCAAAAACATTGTAGTGGAAAAAGTCACACTTCGTTATCACTTGGTCCTATTTTCTCTCTGTTCGTATCAGTGCGCGCCGTCATTCTGACAGCGAGCTCAACTTTTCCAGCTCATTTCAGTGCTAACATTAAAAATAATCATTCCAATAGTAGACCAGACCTTCTATTGGAGATTCAGTTAATACTTTATAGAATTCAGACCATGGGATTAATTGTCATTTTACATGGGTTCCATCTCATATAGGAGTAATAGGAAATGAATTGGCAGACAGATATGCAAAACAAGCTTCAAAAAACAGTTGCATTGAGATACTGATTCAATTTAGTAAAGAGGAGATAAAATCTATTATAAAACAAAAGGTTAAGGAAAGTTGGCAGAAGCAGTGGGAGGAGGAAAAAACGGGTAGATGGCTTTATAGAATTCAAAGGAAAGTTGGGGTAATGAGGGGAACAGGAAGAAGTAGAAAAGAAGATAATATCATATCCAGGTTACGTTTTGGTCATACAGGTTTAAACAGTACATTATTTATAATGGGAAGACATCCATCAGGAAATTGTGAATTTTGTTTTCAAGAAGAGACTGTAGAACATGTTTTGTTGTTTTGTCCAAAGTACTCTGAGGAGAGAAGGAAATTAGAATATCGACTTCTAAAGAATAAGTTACAATTAAAAATATCAGATATGTTGGGATATTGCTCCTCTTCTGAATATTTACGTCATTTATTAAGATTTCTTAAGAAAACTAAACTGATAGAAAGGATTTAGTTTTTTTTTTTTTTTTTAAGTTGCGTCCTGATCCACACTCCTTACCAGTAGGTGGCGGTAATGCACACCAATAAGTTGCTTGTCAACCGCCAATTAACAAGAAGAAAGAAAGAAAGAAAGAAAGAAAGAAAGAAAGAAAGAAAGAAAGAAAGAAAGAAAGAAAGAAAGAAAGAAAGAAAGAAAGAAAGAAAGAAAGAAAGAAAGAAAGAAAGAAAGAAAGAAAGAAAGAAAGAAAGAAAGAAAGAAAGAAAGAAAGAAAGAAAGAAAGAAAGAAAGAAAGAAAGAAAGAAAGAAAGAAAGAAAGAAAGAAAGAAAGAAAGAAAGAAAGAAAGAAAGAAAGAAAGAAAGAAAGAAAGAAAGAAAGAAAGAAAGAAAGAAAGAAAGAAAGAAAGAAAGAAAGAAAGAAAGAAAGAAAGAAAGAAAGAAAGAAAGAAAGAAAGAAAGAAAGAAAGAAAGAAAGAAAGAAAGAAAGAAAGAAAGAAAGAAAGAAAGAAAGAAAGAAAGAAAGAAAGAAAGAAAGAAAGAAAGAAAGAAAGAAAGAAAGAAAGAAAGAAAGAAAGAAAGAAAGAAAGAAAGAAAGAAAGAAAGAAAGAAAGAAAGAAAGAAAGAAAGAAAGAAAGAAAGAAAGTGCTAACTTAGCAGCTGCGTTTACAAGCAACGCCACCGAGCTAGCTTTAGAGCTAACCACGTTCATTAGACATTACAAGATAGTATTTGATTATATTTATATAAAGCCGGGTGTGTAAAAATGGTGAAGGCTTGCGATTATCCTGGTTGTGCCAACAAAAATGATGGTAAATCGACTCTCAGTTTTCATCGTTTTCCTCTGACGGACGTTGCGGTCAGGCAACTTTGGCTACTCGCTGTGGGATTCCATGTTGACACCAGACTGGCAAAAATTAAAAAGCTCCGACTTTGCAGTGCTCACTTCAGCGAGGACGACTTTGCGTCTTCGTGCCCAAGACATACGAAGAAAAGGATTTTGAAGAGCTCTGCTGTTCCTGCAACACTGGTAAACAAAACTACAAATGATTTTATGTAGCAGCCGTGCGTAGCCTAACGGTGATGCGCCAGGGTTATGCAAAAGCAATGTTGAGAATATTAATCATAAAACATAATCAATCACTCGGTGTCATAGTATTAGTGATGCTTACTAAACAGGGCTGTTTCAATCATCTGCAACTATGATTACGCTGACGTACGAGTAGGCTACCTACTCCATGGTTTCAGTCAGTGTACAATCTGCTAGAGGGCTCTAGGCTGTGACAAACTGGGCTGTCGGTCTCAGCTACTAACTCTTCAGAATACAAAATTAAAAAATAGATTTTAATAGATGTAAAACAATGTTGCTACACACTCATGAACGGTAGGTGGCGGTATGCACCTTAAAGTTGCTTGCGATCCGCCATGATAGAAAAGAAGAAGAAGGTGTTGTATTGAAAATGGCGTCACGGCTGTTGCAGGATTCCTCCGAGCTCTCTAAACTGCCGACAACTCTTCAAAGCAAACTTGAGAAACTTTTATTGGATCGGCAATACGAAATCGACTCTTTAAAAGCACACCATGAACAGTTCCGGGTTGACAGCGGTGAGTTAGTGCTAATGTAGCTAGCCGTTAGTGTTAAACGTGTTAATGAGGAGGAATGACTGTAAATAGCACAAGTCAGTTATTAGCAATAGTAAATATTGTGCCTCATTTTTTTATACCTGTAACAATACTATTTGATAGTCTCATTATATTTATTATTTTCAGAACAGTTTTAACGTTTTATTAAACGGAGGCTAGCTAAAGCTAACACCATCGATTTTGTTGTTTACCTAACTGATAGTTTTTGCCTGCATAAAACATGTGTTTTAAATCTGGTATAGGTTGATATAGTCTGGTTATTCTCCCTATATTCTCCCTGGTTATTCTCCATATTTAGAGCAGTTTTTCGAAAAAGTTGAACAACTTCAGCGGTGTCAGGCGGAGCTCTTGTCGCAGGCTCAAGAACATCTAAAACTCAGAGGATTTCACTAAACTGGGTAAAACTTTCTCTGCTTTACTCAACTCTTTCTGGTTCTCATTTTTAATAAGTGTTATTGATCAAAATTACTGATTAAGATGAAGAACTAAAAGGTGTGTCTGAGAAGAACAGGGAAAATGAGTCTGTCCAGGAGAACTTGTCATCAGAGCAGGTAAAGCAACACACAGAAAATACAAAGATAGTTGAAAAAAACAGAAAATACAAAGATAGTTGAAAAAAACAGAAAATACAAAGATAGTTGAAAAAAATCAGAAAATACAAAGATAGTTGAAAAAAAACAGAAAATACAAAGATAGTTGAAAAACACAGAAAATACAAAGATAGTTGAAAAACACAGAAAATACAAAGATAGTTGAAAAAGACAAAAAATACAAAGATAGTTGAAAAACACAAAAAATACAAAGATAGTTGAAAAACACAAAAAATACAAAGATAGTTGAAAAACACAAAAAATACAAAGATAGTTGAAAAACACAAAAAATACAAAGATAGTTGGAAAAATAACAGAAAATATAAAGATAATTGAAGCTGCATTGGACGGCCCCTGCAGCAATGAAAGATTTTATTATCTTTTAATTTAGCCAGCTGAGCGGCAGTGTGCAGTAACATGAGGTGGAAAGGTACCTAGCCATGTATAGCAGTGGTTTTTAAACTTCCACTTGGTAAAACTTTGTTGTCCCTTTTTACTGACAATCGCACAATAGCCTGTGACAATCAATTTACTCTTTGTTCCATTTAATCACACTTCCTCTGATCTCCTAAAATTATTTCCACCTATCAGATACAGTGGAATCCGCCTATAGTGATTGTTAGAGTTATAATTATAAAATTATTGTGTGGGCATATGAAACATTGAAGAAATAAGATGCTACATTTCTGTCCTGTGATTCAATCAGGAGGGTCATAAACTTTTATGACCTGAATCCAGCAGGTCATGAGGCAGAGTCACACGGTTGTGTGACTTCCATCCAGCCAGATGGTCATTTCACACTGTCTTATGACCTGCATCCTGCCAGATAATCATTACAGGGTTTTCTGTTTGAGACCCGCTCTATTATGTTGTAAACTGTTAGTAAAAGGCTTTATTGTGAAGGGATCTGCGAGAAAAAGGTGCTGGTTGTGAGCCAGCAGCTTCTCTCCCCTGTGCAGAGGCTGATGTTGCAAAAATCCGTCTGTGTTTAATCATTTTGTCCTCTTAAACTCGCATTTCTCTGGATTTAAACCCAACAGTGATCACGTTGATCCAGAGCCAATTTGATCACTATAAGTGGTTGATTACTAAAATCAAATTTAGAGTTATTTCACTTATTTCTATGCAGAATATCATCTAAATGCCATTTGTATGGTTTTTCAATGAGAAAAGGGAAATGAAAAGGATAACTTCTGCATTTTATTACAGTATCATGCAAGTTTCAAACAGCTGTTTTTCTCTCAAACACACTTTCAAATTTAATTAACAAATCGTCCCTGACCTCTCCCACCATATATTGCAGTAAAGCCCTTCATTGTTTCTCTTTAGACCTTGCTTTCGAAAGTCAAAGAAGAATTGGAGGCAGAAAAGCGGGAACTCGTGAGAACCCCGGAAAAGAGATCTCTGGAAGTAGAAAATCTAAATGGTAGGGACTTAAACGAATGATTTATACACTGTTTAATTATTTATCTATTAAAAAAGAACATGACTATACCCAGTTTTTTTGTTTTGACCTTTTAGATGACTTGAAGCAGCTGAATGATAAATTAGTGGAAGTGAACACCTCCAAGATGGCTCTGCAGATAAAGGTGGGTTAGAGTTATAATTATAAAACTATTGTGTGGGCATATGAAACATTGAAGAAATAAGATGCTACATTTCTGTCCAGTGATTTAATCAGGAGGGTCATAAACTTTTATGACCTGCATCCAGTAGGTCATGAGGAAGTCACACTGCTGTGTCTTATGACATTTAACACTGTCTTGTGACCTGCATTCTGCCAGATAATCATTACAGGGTTTTCTGTTTAAGACCCACCCTATTATGTTGTAAACTGTTAATAAAAGGCTTTGCTGTGAAGGGATCAGTGAGAAAAGGTGCTGGTTGTGAGCCAGCAGTTCTTCTCCCCTTTGCAGAGGCTGACGTTGCAAAATCCCTGTCTGTGTTTGATCATTTCGTCCTCTTAAACTCACATTTCTCTGGATTTAAACCCAACAAGGTGGAGGAACCTGAAGCTTCAGAAGTGAATATTAAGGTGAGTTCTGAGATGTTTTTTGTTTTTTATAAATATTAACTTATAAATGAGCTATTGGTCATAGTTGTTTCATCTGTTTAGTACAAGGAGAAGCATATGGAACAAGAGAAGGAGCCCCTGCATGGCCAGATGTCTTGGTTTAAAGAGGAGCTGAAGGCAAAGACGGAGGAACTGCTCTCTCTTTCCAGGGAAAAGGGGAATGACATCTTGGAGCTGAAATGTTTGCTGGAGAATAAAGATGAGGTTGGCTAAATTTCTTTACTTGTAGAAATATTTTGTAGTTGAAATGATGTATATTCTTACAATCTTCTGGCTTTTTTCATTTTAATAGCATTGTATTTGATTTGCAGTTAACCAAACTTCACGATCAGGTGACCAGTTTGAAAACTTCAAATGAGCATCTTCAAAAGCAAAATGAAGACATGATCAACAAACTGAAAGAAGTACGTGTATTTCCAACCTCATATTGCCATTTGAATCGCTTGTTGTGACATGCATGAGATTTGGGATCACTGATCTGATTTGCTCCTTTTTTCAGGCAAAAGAGCAACAGGCCATCATGGAGGAGAAGTTTCGCAATGAGTTGAATGCCAACATTAAACTTTCCAATTTATACAAGGTATGGAAAATATTGTCAAAGTGTTTTCTTTTTCTCTACCCAATAACCTGCATCGCCGCAGCTGCAGGTGGATCAGAACATCGTCTCAAGGGGTGGCTTTGATAGTTTAAATACAATTGAGAGATGTGAACATTGTCTTTCAATATAGTTAAAAGATGGAAAGAATGATTTTAGTTACCAGTGCGACCAGAATGAAGACGGTGCAGCAGAGAAAAATCATTTTATGAGCTACTCTCATAAAAATCATAAGAACCATGGACACAATATTCCACACGACTGGTCCTATTAGATAACAGCATTTCACACATGCATAGGATACTTGATGACAGTCTAGCCCAGAATGTCTTAAATGGGAACGCCGGATTTTTTTACATTTGGCCCTTGTTTTTATGTTATTACATCATGTTCTACTCACCCATATGAGTTTTGTGTCATTTAGAGCTGTTCTGAAGATATTCCGTTTATATCCAAGTAACGTCTTCCTATGGGCAACGACTTGAAGGCACAAACTAAACTGTTCATAATTTATTCTTTACGGTACGCCAGCATTCATAACATGTAGGCGAATCACTGTCCCCCAGACATCCATGGTTATATTTTTTATATTTATATCTTTTAAAAACGAAGCGGCGCGTGTATGACGTCACCCGAGCACGCCGGCTACCGTTCATTCTTCCTGTCCGCTGAACTGCTGCTAGTTTTACTCACATGCCTGGAAAATGTCTAGTGCTACTTCCACAGATGATCTCGCATTCCAAATGGAATTGAACGATTCAGATTAGCTCGCCGAATGAATAGAAGGGGTAGAGCCTAGCCGCCTGTGGCCCGGGCTTCCTGTTACGACTCCAGTCCGCATGCCCAGATGACGTCATACACACTCCGCTTTGTTTTTAAAACATATAAATATAAAAAATATAACTGCTGATGTCTGGGGGACAGTGATTCGCCTACATGTTATGAATGCTGGAGTACGGAATATCTTCAGATCAGCTCCAAATGACACAAAACTCATGTGGGTGAGTAGAACATGATGTAATAACGTAATATCAAGGGGCCAATGTAAAAAAAAAAAAAAACTGGCGTTCCCCTTTTAAGTCCACCATATTTGCCCATTGGAGGTAATTTTGCTTCTCACTGCCAGTTTCTCAAGTGGCTTCTTCAATTTAGCTCTAAAATATTGGAGAGTTTCCTAAGGATGATGTTGAGTTCCTTGTTCTGACAGGGCGCAGCAGCAGATTCTGAAGCAAAAAGTGAGGAGCTGAGTCGGGCCGTGGAGGAGCTGCACAAACTGTTGAAAGATGCTAGAGAAGGTAGGAACCCAGGCTTTCAGTTCAGACTTTGAATACACCCGCAAAGACGGGATTATAATATTGTTTTAATGACTTATTAAATGAGAAAGATATTTCATTTTTATTGTGGAGTTTCTTATGTACCCACATGGCCACATATGATGTTTATAGCAGAACCTTTCTTTTTTTTATTTATTTTTTTGGCAGAAAATAGAATTGGTTTTTAAGCCAATGAATAAATCATTTTTTAGTGTCATTTCAGTGGGGATTTGGAAACCAGATACTTGGATTGCCTTTTCTTTTTTATTATTCCAAACAATTGATATTTTCTTGAATTATTAAAGGGGCTTAAGTTTCTACTGACATATTATTTTGTTACTAAAAACTGAAGAAAACCATAACTGAACAAAGTGGGAGAATTTCAGGCTTCCAAAGAACTACAATTTGGTCCTGGAATTCATTCCAGGGAAGTTACCTATGTAGTCTCGTCATGATTCAAATGGCCAAATGCAAAGCAGCAGACTCTAACAACTCAAGAAAACAATGCGTAGGTCTTAGGAGGATGGACCTCCATGCTCATTAAAATCATCACTGCTCCAGCTATAGATTGCTCTGGTCCCAGCGGACAGAACTGACACAGACCCCTGGATAGGTTATAAAAGGTTTTCAGAAAAACTGAAAAGTCAGCGTGCCTCATTTAAGCCTGTTTTATTGTCAAACAAATATAAGTTCATGTAAACCAGCTGCAGTTATTAGGTATTCTTAATTTTAGTTTCCAGCTGTAATTCTGAACTTTTCTCCTTTTTTCTATCTCTTTATTTATTTTTTAGCCAACAAGGTTCTTGAGGAAAAGCTGCAGGAGATTAACGGTGCGTCGGAAAAATCTGTGAACGAGTTGAAGGAAAGGACCCAAGGCCTTGAGAAAGAGCTGGACAACGCCAACGATCTGCTGTCTTCTTCTAAACTCAGAGGTCAGTTATGATGAATTTAGTTTTCCTTAGTTTTTTTTTTAAATCGTTTCCTTTGCTGCTTCTTCTCAGATTACACTGAAGTTCTCACCCAATCTTCCTGTCAACAGTTAGATGATTTTCTATTTATTTTTTTCTGATTAGGACCTGCTGGTGGAGCCGTTCTGGCAGAAGATCAATTAACAACAATGTCTGCAACAGCTGCTACTGTGTCCAAAATAAAACCCAGCATGAAGTTGACTGAGGTAAAGCTGTTACATTTTAGATTAAAGAATTAATTTAGACCATAGATTTTGTTTTCCTCTGATTCAGTGGTTTCTGTTGGTGCTAAGATCCATGCAAATCAATAATGTCTTCGGTTCTCACTCCACACAAAAGCCTTCCCCTGAAGGGGAAGAACGTGATCTTGAGTCTTTTATTTGTGTTAAAACTTAATTTAAAAAGATAATACATAAAAAAAACCTGAAAAAAATCAGAGAAAACAGTAAAGTTACTCTCAAAACCTTTTCCTGATTAAGAATATGTTTCAATTTCATTTCTAGATTGCTTTTCTTTTTCTCTCAAATATCTATCTACCAAACGTGATCGTTCATTTCAACAATAATGAAAAACATTAAACTAGAGCTAGGATTGCTCTGCCTCGGGGAGATGGAACCCAGGTGTAGTTACTCATGATAGCTGGAAAGGTCATGGTGGAACTCAGGCATTTGGTGAGACAAAAACAGGCAACAAAAGTTCTGATGGAGTAAGTTTATTTGGAGTCATTATATTTCCAGGCAACATCAGTAGCAAAATTAGTGTGGATGCCAAACTCTAACACACTCAATAAAACAATGATAAAGGAAACAAAGTAAAAAAAAAAAAAAATCTGTATTTTTATTGCGTAAATAAACAGTTTGCATATGCATACTTGTACCAACTGCCTGTAAATTTACGAGTTTGTAAAGAAACTATACAATAAAACATAACTGTGACACAAGTAGTTATGGCAAAGACTTGAACATTTGGTTACAGATTGCATGTGGTGTCGTTGTTCACTGTTGAGTTCAGCTGCTCCTGCAGCAGCGATAAACTCTTCTTAATAAGCAATATATGTGGAATTAGCACGTGCATACTTATGGAAACGTGATTCAAAAGAAAGGGATCAAAACTGTTAATTTTGTGTACAGGATAAATCCCGGGAGTGCTTCGGTAGCGAAGTGGTTAGCGCTCAAAACCCATGTGCGGGGGCCTTAAGGGCTGGCTATACTCCTGCAGCAGTATGACGCAGATATTTTTGATTTATGCCCAATTTTGAAGCGTGGACGGCGCTATGTTATTCTACGCCAGGATGCAAGAGGGACAGTCACGAACTAGCTGTGGGTCTAGATACGGCTGAGGCGGTGAGGAAGTGGGGGCGAGTTTGTGCAACAACGGAGGGACATGAGGGAGAAAAAGAACTGGGATCCAGGTGAAAAAAAGGGTCCTAGGGTTCTCACATGCTTCACTCTCCTAGCTGGTCCATCTTCTCGAGTCGTTTTCCACAATGGCAGTCCTACAAACACAAGAAGTCGGTAAGTTACCAAACAGGAAATACATAGTGTAGATCGGATGTAGATTTGACCAAACGGAGGCTTCGTATCTGCGCTCACCTACAATTTTTTTTAGAGGTGCAGCAGAGTATCTGCGGAAGGAGCGGAGGCATATGTTAGGTTAAAAAATGTAGGTTTGTAAAAGAGGAACTGAGTCCACACAGAAAAGATATTTTTAGTAGCTTCTGCAGAAGGAGAGAGCTACACCCAACTCTCTACTCTCTAACGGACTTCCTCTGCAGAGCCTTTTTATTAGCAGTTCATAACACATGGGGTGAGTTACAAAACGGAGTGTTCTTCTGATGAGGAAGTTGATTGAGTTACAGAACAGAATGCTTCTTCTGGTAACTGTGATTTAGCCTTGCACAAACATCAGTAATTTTCCACCACCGTTGCATTACAGTTTGCAGTAAACAAGTGAAGCATCTCATTTCCTCCATGTTTTATATACACACACATTAACTTTATAATCATCATTGAATAAACCTTAGTTTCACCTCAAGATGGCGAAGATGGAGCAAGTGACAGAGCATTTGTTTTTTTACTTTGAAAAGCCAATCAAAGCCTTTGACGTCTTTGGGTTCACCAAACTCTCCAGTGATAGAACCACTATGGGGAAAACCACAATCTCCACCAAGAGCAGCGTCTGGTTGTTGGTCCGTTTCAGTGGTGCTTTCTCCTATCTGTAATAAAGATAAATTGAGATGCTATTCTAGAGCTCAGACAGAAACAGCGGGACATCAGTGCGAGAAGAGAGGCAGATGTTCCACCAGCTGGCGTTGCCTGCACCTGGAGCTAAGGAACCACAGCAGGAGGTCGGAGGATGACAGTGGTAGATGAGAGAACCCTGCCAAGCAGACAGAGGACAAGAGCAAATAGTCAGCTGCTGGCCAGTGCTAACTCAGGTTGAGATCGAAGGCGGACAGTGGTTCACTTGAGAAATCTCCCAGGCAGAGAAAGCGCCAGAGGGGGCAGAGAAGGTGGCGGCTGGTCCTTCTAGGGCTAAATAAGAATGGCTTTTATTTTAAAGCCACCTATAGAGCTCTTTAGACCATTCTTGACATTCTTTGTCACCATTATTTTCTCTATCATCCGTTTTTATTTGAAAAATCTTGTTTCTGTTGCGCTCCTTCACCATAGGCCACATCTAGTCCCTAATTGGTTTTCACAAGGCGATGATATGTAAAAGTTCCGATTTTTTTAACTCGTGGAAATTTTGCAACAAGTATTTTTATAAATACTTGTTGCTTTTTGCTGTATCCAGGACTGGGTCAGTTGGAAGCAGTCTCTGGAGAGACACACAGACTTTACCCTTTTAAGACGGCTATTCCAACTCCTCTGAGAGAAGCAGAAGAAATCTCTTTTATTTAGTACATCCTGGTTTGTCCTCTAGCCCTCACTCATGCCTGGAGGCAACCAAAAACAAATGCTGGAGTTTCCTCACAGAACTCCGCTTCATATGGAGGAATTTGTATCATTTTATGTTACCCAGAGGGTACTTGATACTTACATATATTAGTAAAACTTGTAAGTAATGAACAAGAAACTATTATTACTTACTTTTAAATGATGTATTCAAATGTCCATGTTCAGTTTTTTTCCTATAAGATTTACAAAACTGTTAACCTCCTTTTCCTTGTTTCCTCAGGTCTTCAACCACATCATGCCTCTAACTACGCTTGCTGTTGTTCCTGATAACCTTTTCCTCAACAAACGGAGAAACTCTGGTCTAATTCAGAATATATTAAACACTGGACAATTAGAAGAAGAACAAGATAAAGAGGACCAAAAAGAAATGCAACCAAAGGAGACGACTGAAGTAAAGAAAGAACCAGAGCCTCAATTAGTTGATGAAAAAGGCATTGAACTCTGGATTTTCCAGGGAGAAGGGCTGCCTTTAGTGAAGCAGGAGATCAGCACTTCTATGGGGACTGCTGCTGACACGGAATGGAGGATGGAGGCAAAGGAGGAACCAAACCCTGTAGGGATTAAAGTGGAAGAGATGGACATAGAATCAGGGCAGATGATTGACACAAAGGAGGAACCAGAACCTTTCCCAATGAAAGAACAAGCTGAACTCGATATCGTCCAGAACAAAGTGCAACCTTTAGGGAATCAGGAGACCCAGCCCTTGATTCTGACTCCTGCTGTTCATCAGAATGACTACAGTGAACCAGAAATGATCATGAATCATATGCTACCTCAAATTCAACAAACCATGGACCCCAGAAATAATACTGCATCAGGGTCTTTTGTTTGTAAAACGTGCGGTAGATCGTACACTGAACGTCGTAGTTTGGCTCGTCACATGAGAAGTCACAGTGGTGAGACTCCGTATCAATGTGTGTTGTGTGAAAAGTATTATTGCGACCGTAATACTTTGAATTATCACTTGAGAACTCACACAGGAGAGAAGCCGTTTGGTTGCACAATGTGTAGCAAGTCTTTCATTCAAAGGCATACTTTGGTTCGTCACATGAGAACTCACAGTGAAAACAAGCCGTTTGCCTGCGAGCTGTGTGAAAAGTCTTATTGTGACCAAAATACTTTGAATTATCACATGAGAAGTCACAGAGGAGAGAGACCATTTGTTTGCACAATTTGTAGTAAGTCTTTCACTCAAAGTATTAATTTGGTTTGTCACATGAGAACTCACACAGGTGAGAGGCCATTTGTTTGCACAATGTGTACAAAGTCTTTCACTCGGCGTAGTAGTTTGATATATCACATGAGAACTCACATTGATAAGAAGCCGTTTGTTTGCACATTGTGTAGTAAGTCTTTCACTAAAAATGATAGTTTGGTTCGTCACATGAGAACTCACAGTGATTAGAAGCCGTTTGCCTGCGAGTTGTGTGAAAAGTTATTGCGACCGTAATAGTTTGAATTTTCACATGCGAACTCACACAGCAGAGAGACCATTTGCTTGCAAAACATGCTATAAAGCTTTCAGTAGAGAAAGTATTTTGGTTATTCACATGACAACTCACTCAGTTGACAAATCCTTTGCTTGCAAAATATGTGGAAAATCCTTCAGTATAAAAAGTTCTCTTAACCGTCACATGGGAATTCATAACAATGAGAGGGCTAAAAAACTTCTAAAAGGACCATCTTTGACAGGGCATATGATAACTCATAGAGGGGAAAAGCCATATTCATCTATAACCTGTGTTGAAGGCTTTAGTGAGAGGAGCAACATATTGAGACCCAAGAAAATTCACACAGTTGAGAAATCTTTCTCATGTGAAACCTGTGGGAAAAAACTCTGCAGACTACAGTATCTTAAGTTCACATCAGAACTCACACTGGTGAGAAGCCATTTGTTTGCAAAATGTGTAGTAAATCTTTCACCAGGAAGAGTAGTTTGGTTCGTCACATGACAACTCAAAGTGATAAGAAGCCGTTTCCTTGTGAGTTGTGTGAAAAGTCTTATTGCGACCGTAATAGTTTACATTTTCACGTAAGAACTCCCACAGGTGAGAAGCCATTTGCTTGCAAAATGTGTGAGAAATCTTTCAGTAGGCGATATTCTATGATCCGTCACATGAGAATTCACACAGGTGAGAGGCCTAAAATTTTTAAGTTTAGGAATTTACTTTTAAGAGGATGTGCAGCTGACGTCAGACAATCCTGTGACATCAGCGAATCCGCCTACTTGGACAGTAAAACCTTGCGTACATAGAGAATGAATAGAGAATTTCCTTCATATTACCTCTAAAACACCTACATAAATCAGAATCCAAATTCATTTATTAATCTCTTGTGGGACATATCTTGCAGAACAACCATTTGCAGAGAAAAATAAGATTGTAAGTACAAATAAGATAAAAGAATAAACTAAGATAAGGATTACAGTATATACAATTTTATTTTTATATATATATATATATATATATATATATATATATATAAAATTTACAATTGACAGTATTTACAAATTATAATGCTGCTCAGTACCAAATTACAATTATTGCACATAACTGTGTTTTTGCGCATATTGAAGTAATGAAATGGTCATTCTTTAAATGGAAGAATTACTTTCTGTGGTCTGCGATGGACTGTCGACCTGTCTAGGGTGTACCCTGCCTCTCGCCCAATGACTGCCCAATGACACCAGCACCCCTCGCGACCCCACTCAGGACAAGCGTGTCAGATAATAGATGGATGGATGGACTTCCTGTGGTGCAGCATGATGAAATGAGTCTCTGTCTGAAGGTGCTTCTGAGGGTCACCAGCGCATCCTGAAGAGGGTGTGCAGATTTGTCCATCATGAACTTCTGTCAGAAAGTCAAGCACCTCTCCAACAACGTGACTGGCCTTGCAGACGAGTTTTAAGTCTACTGCGTGTTTCACCTTCAGTCTGCTGCTCCAGTACGCAACAGCATAATGAATAGCTGGTCACCACAGACTCATTAAACATCCACAGTATTGTCCGGTAGAAGTTGAACCTCAGCCACCTCAGACAATACAGATTTATCTGGCCCTTCCTGTAGAGGGCATTTGTGTTTTTAGTCCGGTCCAATTTATTATCCAAGTTCACCCCTAAACATGGTAATCTCATGTTCAGCATATGCGTGTACCTACTGACAAGAAAGAAAGGACTGCATCTCATTGTATGGCTTCCCTAAAGACCCCGAAAGGCGAGCGAGATGGGTGGCTGCTGTGTAGGGACACAGCTGGCAGCAAACTACAACTAGCAGCTTTTGCAGCTATCACTTTTTAAATGTTAGTTGTTAAATTATTGCTGTGGAGAGTTTCATCTTTTTAAAGGCTTCCATGGTTTTCCCAGCATATAAGGGTGGAGGGCCACCAGGCTTTACTCCCCTCCACCCTAAAGTATGACCTTAATGCCTCAGACTTGTAAAGTGTGTTAATGGTACTTTTTCACATTACTTGAAGTGTTTTGTTAATAAATTCTCCTTTTGTGGAAAGAAGTTGTCTTTATTCTGTATATATGTGCCTCATGTGGTGCCCAAAGTATCTTCTTCAAACAGAGCAACTCACCATTGAGTTAACATTGACATTTTATTTTATTCTGTTGCTCTTTTTATTTTATAGGTCAGTATTGGTCGCTGCAGTCTGACAATCAGATGTCATTGAAAATTACACATTATAGCTTTAAGCTTAAACTACTGGAAATATTTGAGCTTTTTTTTTTACTTGTTTTAGTGTAATATTTTCAATATTGTTAATAAAGAAATTTAATATTTAAAGAGAAAAAATAAATAAATCCATAGAAAATGAGGAAGATTAGAAAAACTATCAGTTGTAGCAGAAAAATAAATATATCCCAGGAAATTTTGTAGTATGGAGTTATATTCAGTTCCCTCCTCTAAGACAAAACCATTCACGGCAGATTCGATTTTAAAGGCTTTCTTTTCACTTTCTGGTTCACAGATGTAAAGACTATTAAAATAATCATTTCAATCATTTAAGAATCAGAAAGAATTTGTTTTTGGACCAGAATCTTTTTAAAAGAAGCTATTTCACTTCATCTGGATGCCATTGATTTGGCCACTAATAGTGCAGGAATACAGAACAAAACCAAAGTTGAACATTTCTTATTTTCAGTATCATCATATGACATTGTTTTTCCACAGTTGGATGCATAAACTCATGCCTATTCATCACTCACACAGCCACTGGAAACACAAATGTAAATTCAATCCAACTGCAGGTGACTAGATCAGGATTTTACCACCCTATGATCTTTACCATGATGCTTCCTTTAGGCAAAACAATGTAGCTTTTATCCACTAGGGGGAGCCAAAGTCGACCAAAACTGAAAGTTCTTTAATACTGTTTTAAAACATTTAAATCTCAATCTGTATTGGAAATCTGCTTCGTTTACTGCTTTTATACAGACAGTTCTCTTTTCCATATTCCCATCTCTATTATCTTAACATTAACCTTGTGGGAGTAGCGTGGAATAGAGCAAGCATCCCCAACCTCGGTCCTCGAGGCCCGCTGTCCTAAAGGTTTTAGGGGGTTCTCTGCTTTGACTTAAGTTTGTGTGAGCCAATATACTTTTTCTGGAATGCCCAACAGATTTTGCTCATTCCCTCACATGCAAAACATGAAATAAAAATGTCCTTGGGGCTCAAACACCTTGATGACTTCATCATAACTTTATTTAGACTTAGACAGAACTTTATTGATCCCTTGGAAAGACTCGCTCCGGAAATTAAGGTTACCAGCAGCTTACAGGGCAAAAAAAGTATTAAGTTAAAATCAAGCAACAAAAAATTATTAAGTTAAATGAAATTAAAATTAATTAAATTAAAATACATATACAGCATGTTGCACCAAAGGATGGATTGCCCAAATAAAAAGTTGCAATTGAAAATAGCACATGCTGGCAAGGCTCCATTATCACTAAATCCCCCACTATGATGACCCTGCCAGTATTTAACACCAAATCAGATAGGAGCTCTGAAAACTCATCTAAAAATGCAGAGTAAGGACCTGCTGGATGATAAAAAGCTACAAAAAGAAAAGGATTATTGGCTTTGCAATTTGGGTGATGGAAACTAAGGGAAAAATGTTCAAAAGAGTTGTAATTATTAACTGCCTTTGGAGTAATCAGTAAGTCAGACTGAAAGATTGTTGCTCCTTTCACCATTTGACCTTGGTTTTATATCTGGCAGGTCTAGGGATGCCATAGGTAGCGTCTTGCACTGTGGCTTTTCTTTACCCCGCTGCTAGATTTTGTTTTTAGATGTTAAGGAGTCTGGCAGGTCTAGGGATGCCTTAGGTAGCGTCTTGCACCGTGGCTTTTCTTTACCCCGCTGCTAGATTTTGTTTTAAATTTTAGATGTTAAGAATTTTCCTTTAGCACAGACATTTGAGTAGAGACTGGAGATGTGCTAACAATTTATAAAAGGTGCGAAACATGAGAGCTGGTTAAGGCAGAAATAATCTAACACGCTCTACATCCAATGACAGAGCTGGACCATCTCCTAGGTAACAGAAGGCAAACCAAACAATCCACACAAACACAGAACGAAAGCAAATAGAAAAAATAAACAAAAAGACAAAAAGCATAAATCCTGGTTGAAAACAAGCGAAGCACAAAGAGGCAAACCAAACCGAGGCAACAGCTGGACAGCGCTGCTGGGGACGTATCAAAACCTCTAAGGAGTGAGACATCGCTGCTGAGGACAGAAACACAGGAAGTTAAAATAAGATCCTCTCTAGAGCAGAGCTCTCTAACTCCTGTCCTCTACAGCAGTGTTTCTGCAGCTTTCAGGTGCATCTCTCCTCCAACACACCAGGATCAAACAAACAGCCTTTTACCAGACCTCTGCAGAGCTGAATGACTGATGAGGGAAATCAGCCATTCGATTCAGGTCTGATGGAGAAGAGATGTGACTAAAAGCTGCAGCATAGCGGCTCTGGAGGAGTGGAGCTGGACAGCCCAGATCTAGAGCAGGACAATGCTGCTAGATCTAGATCTAGAATAGAACAGTGACACAGCTTGAAGTGGTCTTCAGTTGAACTGGTCTCTGGGATGATGGTGAGAAGGTAAAGACGATGCTTGGAGGGACTGATTGATTTCAGAGCAGTTTAAAGCAGAGGACAGGACTGATGTAAGAATGTGGGTTGTGAATGGCGGGGATTGTTAGAACCCACTTTCAGCTGTGACTTGATCTAGTTCTAGATATTCCTCTGGTCAGTTAGTGAAATATCCCTCTGCAGAAATACTCTCCATATGATCTAGGCCAGTTCTGACCACAGTGGATCTCTTCTGTGTTTTTTAAATCTCATGTCGGACCGAGCCTCTGCAAGCTTTGGGCCGTCAGAAGATGCTGATGAGATCTACGGCGACCAAACCAGAGGAGCATCATCTGAGCTGCTGGCCTTTACAAAAAGTGAGAGCATGTACAGTAACGAGCAACAATGATCCATCATTTAGATATAAAGTCAGCATTTCAGGTGGCCTCACTTAGTTTTTCATTTATGTTCAGACACTGTGGACGTCCAAAAGCAGAACTCCTGTGAGGAACCGGGACATCCAGGATGCTGAGGAGCCTCCTAGTCACCACCTGAGGACGGCACAGAGGAACACACGTGGAGTAAGCCTTTATTAACATGACAAACAGACAACTCAACTCACCTTAAAATTGGTGTCGAGGAAATTCTGTGGATTAATTTAGCTTCTTTTTTACAGGGAAAGCAGGTTGAATATGGAAGCAGTGTTCTAGCAGTCGGATCTCAGTGGAGCAGAGTCCATCCACACGTGTTTGAAGGTATGTTGGTTGTTTGACTAGAGAGGCATCACATGCAGACAGTTTCAGACTCTGAGGACACTTTGCTTTTATTGATGAAGGAGCTGAAGCAGAGGATGGAGAACACAGACCGCTAAGGAGGAGAAACATGGCTCCTCTATTTGTCTCTCCAACATTCTGGAGTCCTGGACTGAAAAACATTGAAGACCCCACAACTAAACCATC